TCGGATAAAAGGGCTTGGAGGTTTGCTATCGATTACAGAAAACTAAATAGTATTACTAAATTTCCAGTTTACCCTTTGCCGGTTATAGAGGAAATCATTAGACAGATCAAATCGACAAGATACATGTCTACTTTGGACTTAACGTCTGGCTACTATCAAATAGCTATGAGACCCGAAGACATACATAAAACCGCGTTTATAACAAAATCGGGCACTTATGCATTTTTACGCATGCCCTTTGGGTTGTGTGGGGCCCCATCAACATTCCAGAGAGCTATGGACATTGTTCTAAAGCCTGTCCTAGGAAAATCAACTTTAATTTATCTAGATGATATAATTATAACGAGTAGTACGTTGGAACAACACATTAATGATCTAGAACAAGTTTTTAAATTATTAAAAGAGGCCGGTCTTACAATTAACGCCTCAAAATGCAAGTTCGCAACTAAAGAACTTAAATATCTCGGTTATAAAATTTCGCAAAAGGGTATAGAAACGCAAGATTCAAAAATAAAAGCTATCAAGAATTTCCCACCGCCCAACACCGCCAAGAAACTTTCTTCTTTCCTTGGGTTATGTTCTTACTATCGGTCTTTCATAAAAGATTTCGCTAATATTGTTGAACCACTCTTAGTAATCAAAAGAAAGAAAGGTAAATTTACGTGGACAGCGGAAGCAAACACAGCTTTTGAAAGATTAAAAGAAGCGCTCAACAATGCCCCTATTTTAAAATTCCCGGAGGGGGACGAAAACCTGGAAATTGCAGCAGATGCGTCAGACTATGCGGTGGGTGCGGTTCTTATGCAAAATAGCCATCCTCTGGCATTTTTTAGTAAAACATTGAATCAGACACAAAGGAATTATACAGCTACAGAAAGAGAAACATTAGCCGTATTAATGGCTGTACACAAATTTCGAGTTTATTTCGGCAAATCGCCAGTAACAGTCTTTTCGGATCATGCGGCTGTTGGTAGACTTTACTCGGGGAAAAACCTAACGCCCAGGTTAATAAGATGGGCTTTAAAACTCCAAGAATATAATATCACAATAAAATATAAACCGGGTAAGGAAAACAATGTAGCTGACGCACTTTCTCGTATAAAACTGGACGATGAAGGAAATGAACTTAAATGCGCTGTGTTGACTTCAAAAATTTTAGATTCTAGAGATACGGTTATTACTGAACTGAAAGCTGATCCTGAATTTGGAAATATCTATGCATATTTGAAAGACCCCGAAAGCTTTGAGCACACAGATATCGATGCGATAAGAAATAGAGCAGAAAAAAAACTATGAAATAATAGATAATTTATTATTTTATACGAAAACAACAAACGAAAATCTTGAGTACAAACCAGTCATCCCAGCCTCGCTTCGATTAAGCATTTTGAAGGAATTACACGACGCGAAAAAAAACAGCGGGTCATTTAGGGGTCAGAAAGACTTTAAAAAGGGTACGCGAGGCGGTATATTTCCCGCAATTATACAAAATAGTAACGGCGTATGTCAGGTCCTGCAATCAATGTCAGTTAATAAATGATATTAATTACAGCCCGGCCGGGTACTTAAATAGCATTCGCGCTACATTTCCGAATGAAATTTTAGGCATAGATCTTCTTGGTCCCTTCCCCCAGAGCGAGTTAAATAAAAATCGTTTTCTTTTAGTAATAGTAGATCATTTTTCAAAATGGACAGAAATTGTTCCACTTAAACGCGCGTCAGCCAAAACAGTCGCAGATGCATTCTTACACAGATACATTTTAAAATACGGTGCACCGATAAAAGTCATTAGCGATAACGGAAAACAATTCATTAGTCAAATATTTGAAAACATATGCAATGGACTTGGCATACGCCATATCAAAATGGTTCCGTATAGACCACAGGCAAACATAGCAGAAAGAGTTAATAAAAACATTAGTAAAAATAATTCGCAGTTACGTTGAGCACACATCACAAGCGCTGGGATGGCTACATAAATGAATTAGCTTATGCTTTAAGAACGGCACAAATCACGATACTACGGGAAAAACTCCAGCAGAATTATTTTTAGGCAGAAAGTTAATTACGCCTTTAGATAAATTATTCTTTGTGCAACAAAGAGAGCAAGAGTTTAAACAGAAAGATGTGCAAAAACTGATTGATCAGGCGCGCTTTAAAAGCTCGGATACGGCAAGAAGAAATAGCAAAAAAACATATTATGATAGAAAACGCCGTGAAGCAGATTTTAAAGTTGGGGATAAAGTATTGAAGCGGAAATTTTCTTTATCAAGTGCCCCAGACAATTTTACGGCAAAGCTAGCTCCAAAATTTGAAGGCCCCTATGTAATTCAGGAAATCAAAGGGTAGTCGTATTATATCTTAAGAACGAGAGAGGGGAAATCTGTAAAGCAAGTCCCGACCAGGTGAAAAAATACTATAATCCAAATGATTTTGAAATCCTTAAAAGTTTCTTGCAGGACTCAAGTCTAAACGAAAGTAGAAGGTCCAGAGACTAACAACAACTGTTCCACCACCCAAGAAAGCAGAGAACTGAAGAGAGACCTAGCCCTTCTACAACCCGGACGTCGGTATCAAAAAAAAGAAAAAAAACTTTCAAACTCCAGCATTTAAGAAAAAAAAACAAGAATACAGATGCACCGCGTAAAGAAACCGTGGTAAAGAGAAAAACACCACCTACAACGGATCGCAGGAGAGGAGAAATTATACATCAAGGAGAACGCGCCACGGCCAGAGAGTCAGGTGCCAGCAAGGCCGCCGTTCCGGAAACTGAAACGCCAACAGGAGGAACAAAAATACGAGGAACAGAAGAAATTCAAGAAGGACTCCAGACCGGAGGACGTCAAGACCAGCCGTCCCAGGAAAAACGGAAAACGACAACAACCGACGATTACTCCGCCAAGAGGCCAGCATGTAGAGGACGCAAAAGAAAAAAAACTGTGGACGACACTCGGAGGTCAGTAAGGAGAAGATTGACATCCATGAAACCTCTAACTTGGGACCAATATTGCCAAAAAAGAATGACGGAGTTTCAAGCATCGAAAACTCAAAGATAAGTTAAAACCTTCTATAAATTTTTTTTCTCTTTTGTTCCGAAATGTTATGCATAAGTACGAAGTTCTATGTTTTGACGAAAGTCAATATGTCTCGGTTGAGACTTAGTTTTGTTTTACTTTATTTAGCTAAGGCAAAAGTATTATTTTCTTTAAGTATAAAAGCTAAAAACAAGCATTTTCTGTTGGTCGAAAGACTAATTCTGTTATGTTAAAGCCAAAATTTGGCCGCCGAAGATAAAAATAACTTCGTATTCTTGTATTAATAAGAATTTTAGTTTCAGTGCCGCCAGCTTGGCGAAGAATGAGTAAAGTAAAAATTTATTTTCTCTTATTCATTTTATGGTAAATTGTAAAAATCATATGTATTAAAATTTTGTAAATGTACGTAAATACTTGAATGTTATGTAAAAGTAGAATTTAGTCTAGAAGCATAAAATTTTAGATGCTAAAAGTAAAATGCTTCAAAAGCAATGAATTCAAAATTTAAGTATTAAACTGTAGATAAAGTCATGCTTTAGAGCGAAAGCCTGCATGTTTAAAGATGAATGAGGGGGAAGTTAGAATGAATGTGTGTTTTGTAGGGTTCTCCACCTACATTTGAATTTTTAAGAATGTTAAAGTAGCTCATTGAGTTGTAGAATGTCGAGTAAGGTGTGTCTATTTGGTCGTTGAATTCTAACAAATCATGGTGGTTAGGGGAAGTGTTGTAAGACTAAAACACGAATATTCCCGTTTGACACCACACATGGTGGGAGAGCCAGGGTAAAGTTAAATTAATGCTTGAAAAATTGAATGAATGCGAATTAAGCAATAACTAAGGAAAACGAATCGTTTAAAAACAAAAATTTATTGTGTCAAGAAAGTGTAAATTATAATGTATTTAGAAAGATACTGATACTTATTCCTTCCAGATGCTGGAAGGAAAAGACCAAGATTGATTGATGAAGTCCAGGAAAAGTTGCTGTAAGAAGAGAGATTTATATAAGTATCGACAGAAATTTAGTATACTTTTGTTACATAAGATTTTTTTTGTGTAAACGAGGCTCTTCGCCAGTTAGTTCAGAATTAGAGAAACTTACAACAGGTCGTTTGTAGGACCTGCTTCCAAGTTTTCCAAATTCTGGCAGCGGCAAATGTAGGGTTTATATTTATTTTAACTAACATTTTTTTTAAGTTTAAACTATCTTTCCTGTCAAGCCTTACTTTCCCCTGGAACTGCCAATGCCAGAAGTATGTAAATTTTAGTAGAACGCGCAAGGATTCAAATTATCAGCGGAAGTATTCTGAGTTAAATAGAAAGGAAACGAGTTCGAGTGTGCTGTTCTTACTTCACGAGCGCGGAGGTAGTTAGCCAGAAATTGAAGAACCCCGCGTTTCGGCCTGTGTGCTTGCCTCGGAGAATTGTTAATCGTTCAACGTGATATTCAAAGTTGCTGAATTAGCAGCGGTATTGTAAAACGCGGTGAGGTTAGTTACTTTTAGAGAGCCTCGTAGTTAGAAGTCTTGTATTATTTCTTTTCAGGTTCTTATTTTTATTTTACCGCCGGGTCGGCGTAGTTTGTAAGCGTCAAGAGCATGAAATTGTAATTTCTTAAGTTAAATAAAAAGGGACTTAAACCCTTAGCAAGACTCTGTCTATTTTCCAGTTTCAACAGTCACCTCTAGTTTGCGTGCAGGTTGGAGGCGCGACACTCTACAAACTACAAGAATCACTTAGAAAATTCAGTATTATATGCAGAAAAATTTCTCTTTCTATCATTTAGAAAATTCAATATTATATTCCGAAAAGTTGTCCCGTTGCCTTCTAAGACGATTTATTATCTGTTTCGAAAATGTTTTGACAATTTCTGGTTATCTTAAGCCTAAGTTTCTTTTGGTGATTTTGCAAAGTTTCTAATATGTCATGCATGTTTCTAAATGAATAACTTATTTTTCCCTCTACAGATCTCTTTACAAAATGAGAAAGAAAACGTGAGTATAATCAACAGGAAGTACACTGTTAAGGATCTCAAGACTCTAGTACCGCAGGTAAAATTTTAAAAGTAGAAAGACCTAGGTTTCTATCAAAAATATTAGCAATAACAATCCTCATAAATATTTCTTGTTGCTAAGCAATAAGAAATATAGCTTAATTATACAATTATTTTAGCCGTGCAGAATGGGGATTTGTAGTTAATATTAAGGGGTGTTACTGCTTCTTGATTATAAATGCTTGGTTTTCAGAAGACAGCTGTTAAACCAAACTACCGAGATTGTTTTGCCTCGAATTATGAAAATGTATTTAAAGTAAAATAAGAAATATTTTCCTCAAGTTTGTATTTTTATTTGGTTTGTATGTAGTGCGTGCGGTTATTGTCCAACTGTGAAGGATCTATTTTATTTTAACTTTACGTTAAAACATTGATATGGTTTGTCAGTAATCAAAATAGTCTTAGTGTCACTGTCGAATGCTGTAATGCAAACGTCATGTAAACATTATAATTTAGTACTTCTCCATGCTCCTGATTTTGAAATCTATACCTACTACCAATTACTCATGTTTTGATTCAGGCTACTCAAGATTTGGATTCAAACAGTTTAAACAAGAAATTCATTCTATCAGTTTAAATAGTCGAAAGTTAAGAAAAATGATACTGAACTCATTTCACAATAAATGCTCAAAAGAAGGGCAACTTTAATACAATCTTGATACCATCGACGATTTCATTGCCCTAAATTTTCTGAAGTACCAGGCATCTAGCTGACAGCATATTAACGACTGAACGTCTGGCGATTTGATCCTCAGTGCAATTAGAGGGAAACTCATAAAAAGGCTTCCCAGTTGCTCATATGAGAAGAAACATTGATATGACAAATCTGGTGATGATGGTCGCCAAGCAACAGGTCTGCCTTGGGTCAGTTCATCGGTAGGCAAAAAAGACCTAGAATGATTATTCACTCCCATGCTAAATTTGTTCCTACCTTAACGACCAATGTTTGACGGCAACTGAAGCATCCTGAAGTTATATCGGCAAGACTTCTTTTCGAAAATGCGGTTATTACTCGAATCGAGTCAGTTTGCTAAGATAAATAAGACCCAATCAATGATTCGTTTAAAATAACAACCCCATTACTGACATATTTGAGATCATACAGCTTGTGCATTCAAGTAACCCTAGCATTTATGTTTTGGTTATTGAATATTGCATTCTATGCAAACTGGCTTCGCATATGAAAAGTACCGTGTTTCGAAAAATTCCGCTACATTAATCTCCTACATAAACTATTGAGGAAATTCAATGGGTTGAGAATAGTCTCCATCTACCAGTAGATGATCCCTTCTCTGTAGGTAAGTGTGATTTTGTTCCCAGTGCAAAGCATTTTTCACCATGATCAGGTTTGAGTCAGGACTTTGTGTGAACTTTCGTTTAAACAAGTTCTTCCATTTCGTTTTCACACTTCTTGATACTCTGGATCATATCTACTAACCACAAATCTTACGTTTTCGCAAAACTAATGTCCAAACATCTAAGGACTGTTATGAGCCAAACTTCCTAGTGAAGTGTTCGCAGAAAACAATTGCTGTACTCATATGCCACACAGTACGTGTCAGCGCAAACACATGTCTGACTTCCCGACATTCAAAAATCAATGCGTCATACTAGAAAGTTGCGATTAACTGGATGTGTTAAAACATGTATTTAAAAAGAATATCGGAAAGAATACTCTAATGTCTTTTAGCTTATTTTCCAGTCGTAGACTATTTTAATAAATATTGCTTGTCTTGGTTTGATCTGAAATCCCTAAAAGTTTATTCCATGAATTAAGAAATATGTTTTAAAATTGTTTCACAATATTTTATTTTTAGTACCTTTCACAAGAAACTGTTTTATTAGTGATAAATTACGTGCTTATTACATGCATTATTTCTGCTACCATATGATAATAGACCCAGAATATAAAGCGCAATTTTTAATGTTATCAAGAGTTTCTGAGGAAGACTCTCTTTTAGATCTTAAAATGGTTATATTCAAAATCGCTTTATCTGTTTTTAAAATATCTTCTCATTACTGCACATTTAAAATTGAAAAGGCAAACTAGTTCTTACTTATAGAACTTTAAACGGGCTAGATTTTTTTTTTTAGGAAAATTAAATTATACTTCTCCTTTATGTACCTGCCACGACTTTTGACACATTGCAGACGGTTATGTCCCATTTCAGGATTTCCCAGTTGAGGCTTTGTAAAAGAATCGTGCTATTTCAGCTTCTTTTGACGGGATAGGCAAGAATAATTCCCATTTCAGCCTCTTCATTCAGGGTCAAGGTAAAATCCGAAAGGGGGCCTGAAGGTTACGTGACTGTGTAATAAAGTGATGTCACAATGATGCTTCAGATTTTGAATTTGGATCAGGCACTGCTTAAATAAAGACATTACTGGCTATACATAATACATATAACAACATGTTTTCACATTTGATTACAATTAAGTATTCAATTTATTAACTTGAAATAGGATCATAAAGATTTCTTAAAGTAATTACGATTGATATGTTTTGAGAATTCTACATCTTGTAAACTGAAACACTGAAAGTGAAAAAAGAAAAATTTTGAGGATTTGGGTAACATTAAATATGTATTAAAATTAGAATGTTCCAAATGTTCCAAAGAATCGTGAAACTCATCAGCAATTTAAATTGCCATCACAGATTTTAATAAAATAGATTCATGATTTTACAGATTTTTAAAAATCTGTCTTTCATCATAAAAAGAAGAATATGAAGCCGCATATTAGAAATTGGATATTTTACTACTAACTTCCGAACGCAGTTATTATGTGATAATTAAACAAAACAAAGTTTCCTTTTCAGGCTGAAATAATTGCATTTAAGAATTAAGGAACCTTAATAATCCTTCTTTTTCCGGTTTTCCGTGTTTCGTTCCATTTTATTCCGGAGAAACATAAATCACGCGAATTTTGCATTACAGTATCCCCCTTCTTCAATGCCTTCCCATCAACTACAATGAAAGGTTAAAAATAAGATGAAACGGTAGGATTTTTCATGTTGCCATCCAGGACACCTGCAGAAGGTGATAAAGGGGGGGATGAAATGATACAATATTTGTTGCCACATCCAGAAAGCCTGAATTTGGAAAGTTCGAAAAGGGACATCATGATTTTTTTTTCAGATAGTACACTCGAATGGCATGCAATTTCAGAACACTGAAATAAATCATACTTAAAAAAAATCTTATCTAGACAACACGTGACTTTCTTGCCTGGCTTATTAAATTACACATGATTTATTTTTGCTGCAACAATAAACTAATATTAAATATTGTTAGATATTTACAACAATAAACTGATATTTATTGTTAGACGAACTATATATGTAAATTGTTAATGCATGTAGTTACATTTCGTTATTTGCCAAAAATTAGTAGTTTTTTATTTGATATTGCCAAGACATGAATATATGCATATATATATATATATATATAGGTTTAATGCTGCCGATTGCAATAAAAAAAGGGAGGTGCACAACGAGATGTTAAGTCCCATGTACAAAATTTCAACATTCTACGGTTAATAAATTTTGGGTTATGTACGAAAAAATCCCTTTTGAATCCCTTTCAAATCCATTTTAAAATCTGCTTTGGAACCTTTATTCTGCCGTAAATGAAAAAGGCCACGTAAAAAAAAAAAAAAAAAAAAAAATGTCCGAATGGATTCGGGAATGGACAAAATGGATATTTGCGTTGAAATATGATACCCAAATTTTTTTGCAAGTACAATAATTCCTTCGTTACAAGGAAGTAAAAATAATATGTGTATTTTTTAAAATTTTATTCAAAATTTACCTTTTAAATTTCTCAAATTATATTTTTTCACTTATAAAATAGAAAAAAAATATATTTGATTCCAAAAACAGGAAACGTTGTAATATTACTTACCTTAAATTAATAGTATCATCAGTTAATCGGAGAAATAAAAATTTAGAGTCTAATTTCTATCGGAAATTAATGGAATATTTTTTGGCCTCCTTACTGATGCATTTCAGTAACATACTCATTTATATCTGTTTCAAATAATTAATACAGCGATAAAATTTTGAAACCTTATTTTTGTTCTTATATTTTACACCAAAAACTTACTGTGTGCGAATAAAATTATGAAATACTTATATTTTACTCTCTGGCAGATAAACTGGGATAAGTACTTCAATGGATTGCTAAGTAATGGAGTCTCTGACAATGACATCGTTCTAGTTGAGGACTTAACTTTCATAGAAAATGTAGCCCATTTCATCATTAAAACACATAAGAGGTAAGAAAAACTTATACTAATTTTAGACCGAAAATGTAGGTAATTAAGTCTACTACTACTAAAAATACGACGCACTTCTCTTCTCCTGCACAGGCGTAGCTAGGGGTTTCAACGCCTGCAGACAAGTGAAGATTACGCGCTCCCCTCTTGTGTGCCAAAATGGAATGGGAAATTTTTTTTAAATATACAAAATAATAATATTGTAAGGAAAAATATCATATTTTTAATTTAAGGTAGTTTTAACTTGTTAAGTATGTAGAGACATTAGTTATGTTTTTGGAAGCAGGAGAATTGAAAAATTAGCAACCGCCTTCGCGGGGAATCAAAACACGGACCTCTGGAATAACGGCCCAGCGTGCAGAACCACTACACCACGAAGGCACGCTAGGAAAGTGGGAGAAATACCTTATATCCTCCCCTTTTTAAAGGGTGACTGGGGTTTTCAGAGGACCCAGTCGCCAAATCCTGGGTGTTGAGAAACCTCATCCAACACCCTTTTAGTTCGAGCGTCACTGTAACATTACTGGATTGGATGTCTGAGGGACCTGAAAGGTCGGAAGGGTCAACGTAAACTTCCCGGATTCTAACGACATGGTCCGCTGAAAAATTTTTCGGGCCCCCAAATGTAAGATTTTCACTAGTGCAATTCTCAGTTACTGTAGAAAGTGACGAATCTTAAGAACTATTTAGCGAATAATCGCTTAAGTTCGTGTGACAAGAAACAACATGAGGGAAGGGTAACTAACCCTTTATTATTCCAATAAGATTTAATAAAACTCCGTCTTGGAGTGTACAATCAAAGCCGACACTTGGGTCTTGAACTTAAGAGACTAAAAATTAAACTAAAATTAAGATTAACTAAAGAAATATAGTCGAAGCTATCAAGATTCAGATCGAGTTGGCCCCTTAAACATCAGATGACTGCGAAGCTATCAAGGGCCTGAGCACGACCGAGCGTATTAACAGCTTTGAGAGAGAGAAAGTGGCCAGAAGGCACACGCGCGTAAATCAGAAACTCTGATTCTCTCTCGCTGAGACCAGAGAACTTCGCAGTTAATACCGCTCTTCCTCATTATATATTCATACGTTATTCTAAAACTACGTTCTGGCCGTAAGTAGTAAGTTGAAGTTAAGAATTTGACAGGAAAGGAACTTAAAATTTAACTGTTAATAAAATTAACATAATCCTTACAAATATATTAATTTTTAATAAGCTCTTTAAAGCGCGTATTTTCAAGGTTTCGGTAAATTTACAAAGATAGAGCGAAGTACAATAAATAAGACAATAAATACCATAAAAAAATATGATTAATTTAAAATAATATTTACATATATTATTGCAAACATTTAAACATTACATTTGGTATAATAATATAATAACCTGATGGTGAAGTTAGTATATAGTAAAGAACAGTTTCATGTATTTTGCTTTTAATACAATTATTAACTTCAAAGAGAAATTTTCCTAGCTTTTGCAGCTGCAAATTTATCGATTAGTTCATCAAAATATATGCTGTGGAAGATTCTTGCTCCACACTGAGCAAAGCTTAGGTTGAGATTATCCATAACCTTTGTTGTGTTATAGATAATCTCAGGTGAGGTAGTATAACACAACAAAGGTTATGGATAATCTCAGGTGAAGTAGGATAAATTTTAATTTACTGAAAGAACTTTCACAACTGGCGAAGGAGGTTTCAATAGTCAGTAAAAGCTGAAGACCAGCTCTGAGGTTTGGAAATAAATCTTCCCCATACTGTTCAAGAAGGTGAAGGAGGTACTCTGGCGTCAAAAGCTTAGTACCACCTCTTGTCTAGAGTAGCATTCGGCAGTCTATTATTTCAATACGCATCTCCAAACTGTCCAAGTCTGCATCATAAATGTTTTCCACGAAAATGAAATTCTGTTCAAGCTATTTTCGTTGCCTGTAGACATCAATACATTTATACCTAAAAGAAGGCCAAACCTAGAGTATACGTTGTTCAAGCTAATGGATCTGTCTCCTATTTCTGTGTACATTTTGGCCATCATACTTTTCATGAATCGTAGCATTTAATTTTTTGCTGTGAGCCCTGTGTCCTCTTCAATTTATACAGGCATTTTCTTCTTTTTTCTCTGTCTGCTTTCAACTTGGACTTCACAAGTATTACACAGTTTCTTTGCTTCTTTAAGGGACTTCATGCATATGGCATATCTGTTTTGCAGTTAATACTCTTGTAAGGTCTGAGTATCCAGAACAGCATTTAGAATAAAAAATTCCTAGTGTAGCTCTGAAATATTTTCTGAACCCGGTCAATCTTGAAAATTACGGTATTCGAGAATCGAGGAAGAACAAAAAATTCAAGAGTTAAGATCTGATGCAACAAAGGAATTGCATCACTTCTTGTATCTTTATTTTCATCATGATCCGCTGCAATATGTTTAAATAGTTTTACTAAATTTTCGAGTTGATCACGCACTGGTTTAACAGCTTCTACTCTGGCACTAATTAATGGGTATTTTCCTAAATGCAATATTATAATTTTAGCTCGTTGTATGTTCATAACTTTAGTGTGCGTGTGTCTTTTATATTGCTGATGTCTTCTACTTCATTGTTTTTATGTACATTGTTATTTTAATTCCAAAATTTGTTCCTTAAATAAAAGCAATTTTTCAACAAGGCTGGAAAAACGTGATATTGACCGTCACGTCAGACAGTTATTTGCCATTTTTAATACGAAATATTAATTTAAATCTGAAGTAAGAAAAATAGACAATAATAAATCAGCTAAATCAAGCCTGTGTGTCCAACAGTCAGTTTTCAAAGTAAAACCTAAAAAAAAAAAAAAAATCCATTATTGTTTCTTTTAAAATTTCTCACATGCTCGCAAAGAAGAAAATGCCTTTCGAAGATGATGCATTCTTAAATGAAGGGTTTTTAAATAGTGCTGATTGCTTATTCGAGAGATTTTCTAATAAATGGAAGATTATATCACCAGTACAAAACTTACAGTTGTCCGATTATCCCTTTGCGACGCACTATACGTTAACGTCGGAATTTCAGTAAAAAAAGTTGTATGCAGTCTATTTAGTCCTAAAAATGTATACAGGTAAAATTTTGTAAAAATTGCACTTACCGTTTTAATTCTATGGGTGTTCCATGAGGTGGAACACTGCGCCGCCAGAGCTTTTAAAAGTGCGACTAAGCGAGCGTTGCAGTGAAGCACGAAAATGAGTAGAAGCGTTTCTATAAGAATGAAAAAACTCTGTATTATGGCTGTATACGTGGTTTCCTGGATATACACAACATTCTTGAATACATACGGATAAATGAGATAAATATCTATATACACAAGTCCTATATACAAAAATATTTACAAATTTTCGGAAAGAGTTAGGCCTCTCCGCGCCATTTATAGAAAATTAATAATAAAAATTTAACTACGATTAATATTAACAATAAAGAAAAATAAGCCTATAATATATACATACACGAAAAATATCTACACAATTATTGAAAATAAACGGAAATGAGACTAAAATGCGACAGCGAAAAATTCGCGCAGGTCTAAATGAAGATGAGTCAAGCTACTAATAAAATTCCCACCTAAAAAACTACTCCCAAAACATTCGAGATGCCAATATTAGGGCTTTCATAACACAAAACACACCTCACCCCTCAATACTGCTTTGTTTGAATTCATCCCCCCCCCCAAAACAACGGAAACAGAAAACGTAAAAAACGGATTTTCTCGTCCTAAGCACAGATGTTCTGATTCGTAACAGCATGAGATCGCTAAAGTCGCAGTAGTTTTCCCGCTAATGGAACACCCGGTTTCATTCAATGATTCTGCGTGTGGTTTTTGTATGAAAGATTTAAAAAAAAAATAGAGAGAACAAATAATTTGGAGTACAGCTAGCAAAATTATGCCTAATTTTTTTTCCAAATAAAATTTTTTATATTATTAAAAATAAAATAAGAAAATTACTTGAAAAAAAGTGGATTTTAATAACACATAATAAATGAAAATTCTTTGTCTCATTGTGATATGCTGCTATCTACTGTTTAAAAAGAAAAGTTCAAAGTATATTATAAAGGCATTTTTATCTATTTACGGTTGAATTTAAAATTTTCAGAAGCGATTCAATTTGTATGTTCCATGTAGTGGAACATTGAGCCGCAAAGGGTTATACACTTACATGAGGAATACATGTCACTGCAAAATACATGCAAATACAACTAAAGCATGATTTTGTATAATATGACAGGCTCTCACTACAATTAGATTGACCTTACGGATAAATCAGGCACTTCAAAGTTAGCAGTTACGATTAGAATGGTATTTATTAGTTTTATTGTAAGCACGATATCCTGAAAATATTACTCATGAAAGGATGAGTAAGATATAAGGATGTCTATAATATATTTATAGCATAAGTAAAGTCGACAGTAGGCCTCTGCACAAGCTATCGGCGATGATGGGGAACCAGCAATGCATATTAATATGTTTATTGTCTTCTACAAATAAGATAAATCATTTTCAAACTTTATGTTGCGTTTCAGACTTTATGTTCCAAACGTTATGATGTACTGCCCTTCGGACACCCCATTGAAATAGTCAACTTAAATCGAGCAGTGCCTTTGCAGCACCACCTTTTACTAAAAAATCCAGAAAATCCTCATCTTGTTCTGCATAGTGAAGAACGTTAACTGAGTAAAGACAAAGTTCTTGCAAGAATGATAAGCTGAGCTAATGAACTTTAGCTGGATGACGGATTTAGGTTTTTCTCACAGGAATAATTGAGAAACTGAATTATGTAAATTTGGAGCTAGAGAAAAACGACAAACATATAGCTTTATTAAAAGTGTCTGTTAGGTTGTTTAAAGCTAAAATGATTTTGTGGATATCACATTTACAGATGACTTGCCCTTTTTTGCAAATGTGAAAAAAATTAAAGGCGAAGTTGAAACTGATTTATTCTCATTTGCTATCAGTCTGCAGTTACTTCAACAGCAGTTTGGA